TTACAAGGGAGGTAAAGGATCCGGGCTTTTGAAGTTCTATTTTGTGCTTCATTAATTATTTTTGTTAGTTTTAGGTGATGAAAGATACATTTTTCGTTAAAAGTTTCGCCTCACCTTACATTTGAGAGTAGCTCGAAACGGAAGGTCTTCCGTATTTAGAGAGCAAATAAAAAGAACTTTAATGGTTTTTTTCCATCTCAGAGGTCGCAAAAGATAAAGTTTACACTGCATTATGAAGTTGAGTCAAGTTTTAGATGTGATGATAAATGTTTTTTAAACCTACTCCTTTACGTTCTTACTTCAAGTTCTTAGTTGATGTGAAACACCCTCCTTTTCAGTGTTTATTAACATCAAACTTTAGCTGTGCTACGTGTACCGGATAGGGTTGCAGCCAGGTCATATGACCGCAGGGAATACAACTTTTTGAAGATTTTTATCTAAAGCTATTAACATGGAGAAAAATTCCCACTGGTGATGTTACCCGAAAACAGTAAAGCCATCATAAAGATCGTCCGACCAATATCACTTTAATATTGAAAGAACGAGAAACCCTAAGTGTTCATGTTTCCTTGTGAATTTATATTATAAAGTGAGAAAATTTGGAAAAACGTTAAAACCAGATAGAAGTTTTGGATGCCCCTCGCAGAAAATTAAAATGGTTGCACAATTTCTGGACAGGGCAATGGAGATTATCGGTATTGATTCTAGACGGCACGTTTGTTTTTTCACGACACCAAATTGTCATATTTGAAGTTGAAAAAACAAAATTCCAGGTCGAACTGTTTGGGAGAAAAATGTCACGTATAACTCATAAGTCTCTCTAGAAAAATCTGGAGAATTGATTTTTGAAATCTTCGACGCATAAATTCAGGTTTTTCGAGATATTTTCGATGAAAACTGAACCCCGTGCTATTTTCCACAAGGTCCACCAGAAAGTGAGCACCAGGTGAATCAGCCAATCAGAGACGACTCGTAAAAGTAGGGGGTGCCGCTCGGCCCAAAATTCATATTGTGGCTCTCGTTTTCTCTTTGAAAACAAGTCGTCGCGATTGTTTTAAGCGCGTTTATCTCTGTGATTGTCTTAAATGCTCGCCAGGATAACGGCTCAGAAGAGAGCATACGGTCAAGAACGGCGAAGTTATCGTCGTGCGAAGGGGACGCTTCCGAGGGGTTAGGTAAATCAGTCGCGGGAAATTATTAATGGCTCTGGGTCGAAGCGACGCACAATGGATAGAGTCAATGTGAGAGGTTGGACAAACTTTGGAAACTTTAAAAGCTCATAACTCTGATCATAAAAAAACTTCGAGGTTCTAAAAGTGATTCCATTGGTTTCCTTGTGAAATTTTCTTCTCGAGGCAGCACTTAAAATTTAAAATAGGACGGAATAAATATCAAAATTTGCAGTTTTAATAAAAAATTTCATGTCCGGCCTCTCTCGTTGACTCGATCCACTGTGCGACGGCGAAAGAGTTTTCTGGAAACGTCGCAGGAAAACAGTAAATAAATACTTAACGGTCGTCGGGGTGTTCTTTTAACGGGTCATTTGGCGGTTCTGATTTTGTGACTCGTTCGATTTTATGATACCCACTCCCGTGTTCGCCCGGCCGAAGCCAATAAATACCCACTTGATCTCCTCATTTTCTTCCTTTTCCTAATTTCAACCCATTCTCAGCAATGCTTTCAAGAAAACTGGAGCACGCAAAGACTCATTTCTTTCAGATGAAGGACATGTAACATATAATTTTCAAATACCTTCGCTCAACGATACTCAAAATCTTTCATTCAGAAAATAATTCTGGTGATTACTTCGCGTATGAGGAAACCATTATGCTGTAAGATTTTTTCGAGGAGTAAGTTCTTGCACTTTCTTATCTCTATTACTTTACTCGTTACTACTTATTTATTTCTCTTATTAGTCTCTTTTTTACATGACTGGGGGGGGGGGCGTTCTGCCAAAACTCCGCCCCCCCCCATTGAAGAGCTTCAAGCCTCAGGCGTTACGAGTAGGTCTTATGATTTTATATTATAGAGTAAGATATTGAATTTAGCACAACTTATTGTGCGTTGGATGTAAAAGAGAACAAAATATAATTAACGAAATCATGAACTTAATTTTGCTTCATTTTACTCGGAAAAAAGTGTTAGGGGTTATCCCCTAAAATTCTCAAATCCCCATGAAAAATACTTCTTCTGCCGACAAAGCTCATTGGTGCTTCCCCGAGTCTTTAATTAAGTCTTACGATCGATTTGCAGAAGACTTTCAATCATGACGCATTACAATGCATTCTCCGGGCTAAAAATGAATAAATCCTTAATGCATTCTGCACGGGTTCGAGCTAAGCTATGAACAGTGAAATATTTCCTTCCGTCAATCAATTTGAATACAAATCCATAGCCATTATATCAGATTCAGGACGCAAAGAGAGGCGACTTAATTAGACTCACTGTTGCCACGTTGCAGGGTTAATAATGCGCCTACCCCACAGCCAATTTGGTGTGATCCCACGAATTGGCAAAGCGCAATATCTTCTGGTTACGTGAATCGTCGGGGCTCCAATACTCTCGTTACGGTACTAGCAGCTCGAGACCGGTGAAAAAGAAATGCAGATTGCACAAGAATGGAATAGCTCACGGTTCAATGCATAATTTTCTCTGAATGATATAAACTTTCTATCTTGCACTTGCATTGTATTTTTAGTTCGGACGTTGTACACTGGAAAAAAAAAACACATTGGATCTAGAGTCCAGACTCTTGAAAACATTGACAAGAAAAAATACTCTTGATTCAATCGGATTTTTGCTTGAATCAAAACGAAATCCGCTTAAATTAAGAGGCTTGGTTTTTGATTTAAGCTAGATTCTGATTAAATCAAGAGTACTTTTTCTTGTCGATGTTTTTAAGAGTCTGGACTCTAGATCCAATGTGTTTTTTTCCCAGTGTAACCTATAAACCAAACTAAATACATGCCAGATAATATGAAGTTATACGGCAATGCAAATCTTTTGTTGTGGAGTTTTAATGTTTACCATCGAGAAAGATCCTCTCCTTCATTGTCACAAAAAGAAAAAAAAAGAGGAAGAAGAAAAAGAAAAATCATGATCAGAAGCGGAAAAAGAAGACGAGTACTGCCTCTTTAGAGCTTGTATGTGTGCGTGGATATTGCCTCAGATTCACATTTTTTAGACTCTCTGAAAAATAACACGCATGTCTTACACAGATGATTTCAGACGATACCGTCGATGAATTTTATACGCATAAAACCAGACTTTTCAAAATACGCTTGTGCTACCTTTTTACCATCTAATGTGGGGTTTTGGCGCTCAATTTATGTCTACCTATGATTATTTGAGTATTTTTGAAGCGAGACGTCGTGGAAAAATTGTCATAATTTCGGACTCAATTATTTAAATTGTGAGGCCGAATTCGACTGAAGTTAATTGGTAATGTTGTTGCAGATACTGAATGCAAAAAACTTTGGTCTCTGAAGATACTTTGTGCCCCTTAAAGGAGAACACTCGTAGGTTTCAACGTCCCTCATAGTTTCAGAGTAATTAGTTACTATAAAGGCTCCAATAGTTATAAAGTTGTGACAAGAATTTTTTTTTTCAACGAAACCTTGAAAATTACCTAAATTTAGCAAAATTTAAAAAAAAAACGAAAAACAGAAAACGAAAGGAATGAATGAAAAAAACTGATGCATCTTGGGCTGAGCATACACAGTTCATCGTTTTCCTTACAAAAGGAAGTAACTACATTTCAATGTTGCCAAATTTCCAAAAGTCAAATTGCATTTTTATCAGGAGAATCTTGGGGATATTGCCAACTGAAAAATTTCACCGATTTTTCCTCTGGTCTCATGCAAAAATTGGAAGCATTTTGAGGAAAAAATTGCACAGGTAAGCTTTTGTAAAATATTTGATTATTTGAATGCATATTGTACCCTTGGAATGAGGTTACGACGTTTCTTGGTCCGGGAAACGACGCGACAAATTATCGCCGCCAGAAAATGAACAAGCGAAGTAAGGACTGATTTAAACAAGACGAAGTTTTAACGAACACAAATTCATTTCCATTCCGCAGAGTCGAAAGTTCGTGATTGTTGGGACATTGCTGGTGGTTTATTAACTTAGCGCACAATCTTTTTTACCCTCTCACTATCTCTCGGAGACAGTTTATTTTACCTAAGGCCATCCCGAGACGAAATTGAAATCTGAATTTATCCTTTAATTTTAATCCAGAGAGACTTTTTAGTGAGGAAGTGTCCTTTGTTGACTTCGTTTTGGTATTCCTTTAAATGCAAATGTCATGCCGAAGATAAACCCAACACTCCCTCGAGTATCTAACCGCGTTTAGTTGCCGCGGCAGCGTATCACCCTAGGTTATATAATGATATTCAACGAGATTTAATTTCACCACCATAGCTGTGCCTGGGTCTCTATCAACTTTGTTCCACCTTCATATAAAATATTGGAAAATCCTGCTTTATAAAGCAAAACTTATCATTGCTTATTCCAATTCTTTTCTCTCTATTTTCTTTCACAATACGTGTCCATCCAATTTTAATCTGATACATTTGTAGAACCTAAAACTCAAAACGCGTTCCGCTTTAACTTCTGACCGCTTTCTCAGATTCTGATGCTATATTTACACGCGTCTGATCTAAATAGGCTGGGGGTGATTTACGATTCGGTATTGACTTTTGTGGACAAACGATCATAAAATGCGAAAATTAAACATGTTTTTACTAAATTTTAACATTAAGCCATCGAACATTCGTGTCTTATCGTCATTTGTCGATGCTCTTAATTTTCAAAAATAAAAAGTGCTACTTCTTCCGCCGATCTCTACCTTCCTGTAAGTTCAGTTCGAATGTTACGTAAGTTGACCCTGCCGTAAAGGGTGTCACAAGAGGATGATGTAAATGCATCTGTCTGTCATGTAACCCCAACATCAGTCATAAATTCAAAAGCCTGAAGAAAAAAAAGAGTGCTTTACTTACCATGGGCGTTCTGGTTGCAAACAGGTAGAAACAAGGAAGTATTCGACTGCACCAAGAGTGTCATTCACATCTGAAACACAAAAAGAAAGGACAACCATCAGAAACTGTTTTTCCCTCTTTCTGTTCCATTCGATCTTTAATGGGTTTGAAAATATTTTAGAAGATGTTTAAAAATTATAATTAAAGTTTTGACGGTCAGAATTCACGAACGTTTTCATTGGCCTATGCTGTTAAAATGCACATGCTTATACGTTCAGAATTTTTTTGAACTCAGGAACTCCATTGATTATGGCGAATAATTTAGAAAGTATGGGAGTTGTGCTAGAGCTCCAGAGCATTGTATCACGATAAAATGCCTTGAGCTTTTCATTAGAGCTGCGACAATTTCATTATGAACTCTGTTAATTCCTTAAAAAGGTATTACAGGTATTACCTTAAGGTATACCTTAAGATACCTTAAGGTGCTACCTTAAAAGGTAAAGGTGCACTTATTTGAAACAAATGTTTGCGGCATTGCGGGATGACACGCCTGCGTTGCGCTTGCGAGCTCGAGAAATCTGTCTGCCTTCATTGGCTTGGATATGCGACACGCACATCCATGGAACACGAATAGTTGTATCCAAGCGCCGGCACTAAAGTCGCGTCTCCGCATATGCATGCAGCACGCGGACTGAGCATGTATTTTTTTCTTTTTTCACGTCCTTTGTGATTCTACATACAGGTATGATAAGCCTCATGAAAACCCTCTGTGATTACTCAAAATATTTGACCAATCTAAGACCTAAAATTTATAGTTAAAAAGTAGGTATATTATTTCAACTCCTTTCCTCTGATCTTAGCACCCTCTTTCTGACATTACCTCTCTTTTCTTCCTCTGTTTTTGACTCGAAGATGTACCACTAACCCTCTCCCCCTTCCACCACTGATAGTAAATATGCGATTATTAGTCTGTGTGTCGGACAAAGTGAATCGCCATTATCATTGATTATACTCCAGCCTCAGTGATATTGGAGTTTTACGAGTAACATAACAGAGACAGAACCTCCAGTTTGCGTTTTCCTTATTCTACATGTGGGTTTCACGGGACCCACCCCTCAATTCCAGTCTTTTCTCGCAGTGAGTGAAGGAGTGAATTAATATTGAATGACGGCTCAACTATCAAATAAGGAAAATGCTTTAAAAGCTCAGGTTTTCTATGGTACCGGCGGGGCGGAGAGGGGAGGGAAAATTTTTCAAGCTTCGACGAATTTTAGGGCGTACTTCTGATCGGTAAGCAAAGAATGCCAAAATGACTTGACATGTTTAGCCACGTCCGGTAATTGCACTCTTTCGAGTACCCATTTGATTAAAGGCAGTAAAGGTCATGAAGGCAATACTCCAAGCTCATCTGACGTAAATGCTGGGGAATCACTTATTGATACTTTGAAAGATTACAGTTACTGAACAGTTCCGTTTTATAACGAGCTGACATTTAAAATGAACCAGCCAAGATTATTCACTCAGAATGATATTTTCTAATAAAAAATTGCGGAAAAGACTATTATAAATGAACTAGCCAAGATTACCCACTCAGAATGATATTTCCTCTCGCAACTGACGTAATTTTCACGAGTTTAATGCACCACTAGGTGTTAACGAAGGCTCTCTCTCGGTGTGTGATGTTTGCACTAGGCTGGACTTGCGACAGCGCTCAGTTTTAATTCGCTGAATGTCGCTAATCCATTTGCGCGAGCTTGCTGCTTGGGTTAATTAACATAGCTTTTTACTGAGCTTTTTCACTTCACGGGCTTATCACAAAACTTCTGGCGCCAAGTCGAGTTCCCGTAATTTACCCGGTTTGTAGATAAAAAGGATTGAAAGCAAAAACTTAATGGAAAATATTCTCCCGTCTAACTAGAGCGCGAGATCTCCGCTTTCAATCCGGGCTTTCTTGTAGATTGATACTAAGTTAGGCGAACAGGCTATGTAGCACACGACAGCACGTTATCCCCAGCTTGAATATTAAGGGCACTTGGTAACAAACCAATATTTAAGCCACGAGGAAACACATAGTTTATATCATGATGAGGATATTAGTTTGAAGTTTCCGGATTATAAAATTTTGCACGGGCTTTGAACTTTGAGCCTAAGAGGTTTGCCAAAACGTGCATTGATTACTTCCGGCAATTTTACGATCTGCATCTTTTTCTTATCAGCCACCTGCCAGGCAGCTCTTGGTTCCCTCCTTCTAAAATTTGCATTGTACAAAACGACCTTTCCCTGCCTCTTTTGAATAAAAAATCAAGGAGGCGAGGAAAACGCAATAAAATAAATCCGCGATGTTAATAAAATGGAATGTTTCTTCTGCTGTTTGCAACGACGCTCTGCTCGTCATTTCCTGAACGAAAGAACATGACTACATTTTTCAACATTGCAATATTTTCACTTGCAAACTATAAAATTACTTGCAATCTGCTGCACGAGTTTTACGACGCTGATCGCGTTGGAGCCTTTCCGAGGTGTCTGATAAAATTAAATTTCGTATTTTCCTGAATTTTCCGTATATTTTAGACGAGACTTCCGGATTCTAGCACAAAGAGATTGACACTCGTTCGATTCGAAAACTCAGCATGTTTAATAAGTTTAATCAAATGTTAGAGATATGCTTGAATCACTCAGAACTTCCTGATCCATGACCAATTTTTTGGCTAGAATCCTGATAGCATCGAATTCCCTGATATGTGCTGGTCATGGTTGCTACCGAATCTAAAAAATGAAATTCCCTGACATTTCCCTGCTTTCCCTGAAAAAGTTGGGTGTAATTCCATGATAGTTGAAGATATGCCAGATGGTTAAGAAGACATAACTTGGAATAGTTTTCAGCCAAAAGTTGTAGTTGAAAACATTAATCCTAAACTAGAAAGCACATAGAGGTGACTTAAAAATATTTCCCTGGCATTTTCAGGTTTTCCCTGACTTTTTAAAATTCCCTTTTATTTCACGGTTTTCCCTGCCTGTGGCAACCCAGTCCGGTTTTTTCTAACGGTGAATGGTAGTTTTAGTAATTTTCAAAACGCTTAAGTTAAATACAATCAACCAATTGAACATAAACATTTTTTCTCAGTGATACACTGAATGAATTCTTCAAATATTTTCAGTTGGCAACGTTGGGGATCCGAGAAAACCAACGACCACCGCCGCTGCAACCGCCGCACAGTGAATTAAGTCAATCGAAGAGGTCGGACATAAAATTTTAGACAAAAACTGTACATTTTGATGTTTCTCTCGTCACATTTTAAATTTAAAGGGACGCTCCGAGAAGAAAATTTCACGAGGAAACCAATGGAACCACTTTCAGAACCTCAAAGTATTGTATACAACTTTTAAATTTTCCAAATTATGTCCGACTTCTCCTATTAACTTGGTCCACTGTGCGCCGCTTTCCCCTCGCGGAAAAGTGACGGACGACGCACGACGTTTTTTTTATTAATCCGTGCTTCTCCGCAGCGCCGCGCCGGCCGGCCGTCGAGCATACAAAACAGAGGTGGCGCAGAGGGCCACTGCTAAAAATTAAAAAAATAATAAAAAAGGACGAGCAAGATGTTAATCACAGATGTAACGGAGGGGGCTAATTTATGCAGGGTTCCAGGGCGAACGGGGCGGGGGCTTTCCGCGAGATAAAACACTGAAATCGCCGGTTTCAGCGTCGTCCCGAGTTCCCATTTAAACACTGCAGACCATGTAGTCAGACTATACACGAAAAGTAAAGATAATACGTTGATGAAACAATACAGATTACTTAGGGTCGTAGAGACGCTATTAGTGTCATGTCACAGAAAAGCGAGATAGATACATCGATTTATTCTCATAGACCGTATTCGATAACGGTTCGATGTACCGTTTGGTTCAAAACAATAGAACATAACCTCAAACCAAACTGTATGGATTTAAGTTGAAAAAGCTGAAAATGATAAATTTTCCTGACGATTTCACTTTGCATTGGCATTTGGTACTCAAAAAAATAAAAAATCTGTTACAAAAGACCCGTTCTCTCAGATTTCTGAATTTAGTTTTGAGGCTATGTTTATGTTTTGAACCGATCGATATCGATACAATCTCACCCATTTGATGTATCGAATACGATATATTGATAACATTGAAAGAGGTTGTCATGTTATTGTTTAGAACCGATTAGATAGGATGGAGAATCCCTAAGGTGACGTCACCACTAATCGCGTCCATTCGTATAGTCATTTCTTGAACAGTCGGTGGCGTAACGTAACCAAGGGCGTCCAGGGAGGCTGCCCCCCTCTCCCAATCCAAAGGACAGGGAAAGTTTCTTAAATGAACGTCATTATTCGTAATTTTCAGGAATTTCGCTTTTTTTTTGAACCCCTATCCATCCCATGAAACATTTGCAACAGTAGACACCCCCCACATTAAAATTTTCTGGCTACGCCACTGTGCACAGCTCCTTTTATTAGGGAGGCTCTATATTCTATACTCAGTGTCTGAGAGAGGTTCAAGGCGGCTTTCAGCAAGGCGTTATAAAAAGGACAATTTTTCTGACCCTTAAGAGAGAACTACGCCGTGACACTTTGGCAATATCTCTCTGCGAGGGATTACAATGACTCGGCATTAAAAAAATAGAGACAGGAAAACAACTTAAAACATTTAGAGGCAGTTTCAAACTTATACCTTTTATGGTTTGTGAAAATCATCATTTAGGGGGAAACCCTTTGCATCTGTGTTTTCTGCAGCATCAGATCTTTGCAACCCCTTTCGAAGATCTATTTTCAAAAATATTCCGTCGAGTCCCATTCGGGGCTCTTGAATATTGTCCTTTCAAGAAAGCTAAGTTGAAGTGTGCAGTTCACAGTTTGGAACATATGGGATCTTCTTAGAGAAAAAAGCTCACTGGAAAAAAAAAAAAAACACATTGGATCTAGAGTCCAGATTCTTAAAAACATCGACAAGAAAAAATACTCTTGATTCAATCGGATTTTTGCTCATATCAAGAACCAAGCCTCTTAATTTGAGCGGATTTCTTTTTGATTTAAGCTTAAATCTGATTGAATCAAGAGTATATCG